GGATAGCTTAGCCGCAATGACGGTAAATGGGGTAAATTGAACGATAAGTATACAATACTAATACCACAGTAAAATATATGGGCAAGACACTAATACACAATAAACAAATTCAGAATCGCAAAAAAGATTGAATTTGTCAGAAAGAACCACGAAAACTCTGCTCTACACGAAGCAACGAACGCTGAAAACTTTCCTGTCAAACAGAGTGCGATAAACGTTCCTGCGATCTCTATCTGCAGATGAGTAGAAGCATTGGTTCGGGTCCAGCAGGAGCCGTTTAATTCGCGTACCTGAGTTGTAAAAATAGGACGACTCGGAAGTGTAGTACTATTCCAAATGTGTGTATATCGCTCCGGTTTAATCTGTTTACTGCGAACCTCCTTTACTAAACTCTATCTCATAACTTATACGCCACCCTGCTTCGAGACGGGAATAGGAGCTGCGGCTAATTCGGCGAAAACGACGGGTGTCTGTAGGCTAAGTTAACGTCAATGAAAGATACGAACAGGAATCCAATCTTACAACTGCCTTAGCCATTTAATTCTTAAGTATCCTAAGCGCACATCAAACGACACGAGGCTGTACACTGGTGTCCAGACTTTGTGGTTTCGTGCGTATAATATGATCAGCGCACTTGTTAAAACTGTGTATGCAACATCTCAGAAATATGAAGACCTAGCAATAAAGATTAAGCAAATAAGGCGCGTCAAAATTGGAGAAACCATGACAGTGAGTTGGACCCATTCCTCGTCAATAGGCTCAGCTTCAGTCTTGAAGAAGGAGTTTTGGCGGCTCGTTAGAAAAGCGTCAGCTGCACTTTTACTGCCAACCAGCATGTCTATATAGCCAAAGACTACAATTCGCCAGAACCAACCACCTCCATATGATTTGAATAATTGTGATCAGCGTCTCGTCCACCCTCCATACTGTTCCGAATTTTCAGAGTAGCGTTGATACCAGTGTTGGTTTGAATGTGTTTACCACTACAAACACATAGAACTTTAAGAGTTCAGTTAGTTTCATTTGATCCAAGATAACTGGAGGCGTAACTGTACTCGCACAGTCTCCAGCGATTTTATGCGACCTGTTTACTGTTTCAAGTAATACGGATACATCTGTACCTAGATCTAATATGTCGCTGGTAAACCTGTAACAGGTTCCTGCATTTATTGTTCATTCGTATTCGCTTTACCATTACCATGCTTATTCAGGCATGCTTCTCATTGTCGAGAGTAAAGTAATAATTTTTTTATTTCTAGGAGCATTCTATCTCGACCTTGGCTACACAAGCGATGATCAAGCGATCAGATCTTGTATCATCAGTGATCCGGGCGAATGTACGCGAATTGATGCCAAACTCCTTAAACCATGAGCAATTCGACAACAAGCATCAGTGAAACTTACTATGCGACATCCTATATATTCTGACCCGGTCAACCAAACTCAAATCACTATGATGAACGGAGACTTCTCCGAGTTCTGTTGACTTTCGTGATTGAAACAGAAGCCGTTCGTCTATCGACAACCAGTCTCCGAAACGGGCCGTGTTCTGTCCACATGTTCTCGTATAGTCCGTAGAGTGAGCGTATGCAGGCAAAGCACGGCTTGGAAGATAACCGGAAGAAATCACTAACCAGAACCACAGTTGTTCATAGTGTCACTCAAGCAGGAAGAAATGATGAGCAATGAAGGTATGCACATCACTAAGAGCAGTGGCGTAACACTTGCTTTATCGACCTCGAGGCTACATAAATGGTCACGTTACAAAGGACGTTGTCCGAGGCGTTTGAAGTTGGTGCTTCAGAACAGAGAGATGTCGCAACAGACTACCTTCTGAGCTCCAACGCAGTGCGACATCTCCTATGCAAACGCGCGACAAGAATACTTAAATCGAACCACCTGCTGACAACAGTTTGGTAGAACTTACTCATTTAGTAGCTAAAACTTGTGGGCATATTTCATACGTCGTACACAGAGAGACGATGAAGGAACAAATTACGGAGGCGCTGGACTTGTCACCGATTCATTTGTCACTACAGCACCCAAAAACCATTAGAGGCTCACTTTACTTCGGTTGGCATAATATCACACAAAAAACAAACATCTCCTGACTTGCTGTTGAGAGCATTACAACTTTTCTACACATGTACTAACACACAACGCTTCATCAACGTGCCTGATGAACTGCGAATCCGTCACGCATCAAACGCTTTGGACCTCATCTTTATGACTGTAATGTAGTTACACGCAGTAACTTGCAGTGTGAAACGACGGATGATATACAAACACTGATTATTCACTCTAATTCCATCCACAAATGAGGCGTAAGCACAACTGCCTTATAACAGTCGTCCATCGTCCCAAAATGTTCACCCCAGAGAGAGACTCCAGTCTGACATTAGCTTACTAAAGGGCCATGCGATTAAGGTATATTCATGTTCTCATCTCAGGTGATTTTAATTTTCATGGTCTGGAAGTTCCGACATCCGACAGTGAGCAGTTTAAGACTGAATTGCAAAAGTTAGTTATATGCGATTTTCTCTTAGATCGTCGGTTTTTTCACCAGATTTATAGCGAGAAGCAAACCACCAGTGTTCGATTTAGTGCTCACGGATGAAGAATCCATGATTGACAAACCAACGATAAAGAGTCCTCTAGAAGTGAGTGGTTGCGTCATTATACCTTAAGACTGTGTGTTATGCGGCGTATCTCCAAGAACACATTGACTTGTTTCGAACAAGTGCACATTACAATATAATAGGAGGACCGGTTGGAGAAACCAGCTTGGAGTTCTTGGATGGCGATACAGTTGATAATACTTGGATGTTGTTGAATAGTTCAGAGATCGGGTCACACTCGCGTCGGAAGTCATGGCTCTTCGTTCAGCAGGGCAACGTAGTTCATTCGGAGCAAAACTTAAGAATGTATAGCAGTAAGAAAGGTAACGTGACGTGCGATCAGCGCTAATCCTAGTCCTGGTAAATCTCCCAGCTATTTGGCTCACCGTACTCACTGTACTACACTTGTCCATGAGAATAAATTCGCACTCCAGAAGTGCCTAATGGGAAAGTTATTTGCCAACGACAAACTAATGTACAAAGGGGACATCAGTCTGCGGCAACTGCATGTTTTCAGAGATTAACACGCGGTAATGGACGGCGATTGCTTTAGACATTTGTTCCGACGGAAGTAGGTCAACGGTTGGATAGCAAATAGTTCACCGCTGACTTGTTCGCACTGATCGATTGGGGCTACTTAAACATGCTGACGGAACCGACAGCATTTAAATGCACGGCAGCTTACAGCATTTGTTCAGAATGTGAAACTGCGGTTGGTGCATTGCACGAACGTCAATTAACCCAAGTTATAGCGCTATCACCGCGAAACTGGGGATTTCCAGGACGATCAGACTTGGTGAGAAGAGAGCCATCTAGTAGAATAACTCAATTTTTCACATTAATCTGCAAGCAACTTTCTTGTGATACATGGATTCCTGTATTTGCAGATTCATTTGACTGCATAAAAGCACAGATCACTGGTTTTACCAGGTATCGAGCGTGCACTACTGGAATGTATGTGTGGGACATGCGCGTAATCGATAGAGCAACGAATGAAATCAGGTTGCCTACCAGCATGGTATTTCGTTTGCTTTCAAATTGTTTCTTCATAATTCCTTTAAAGGTGTTCCTGAATATGTGACTATATTTGATGAAGCACAGATTTCGATCAATATCATTTAACGATTTTAGAAGAATGACGGAATATGACCTGGTTAACCTTGGGACTAGTTCATAAAACGGATTATCTCAAAGATACCAATGATAACAATGAAATTCACAGTGACAGTGAAAAGCAGTATTACACCGAGAACAGCAACAACCGAATTAGAAATTTACGCCAATTGGTTTTACACGTATTATGCCAGTGTCCCATTGTTAACCGTCATTATGCCTTGATTCAAGGTCTTCTTGAGAGAACACCATTCCACTACAGTCATATTTGTTAGCCATCTGATGCTGCTTCTTCCATTACATCTTAGCATACCAAGCTCAAGGGTGTGCAGGCAATAAATAACGAATAATGTTGATTGCTGGCGGCTAAGTTTACTGTTTGGGGATTGGTTATGACGAGTACGTGATTAGTTTGCGATATTAGGATTATGCAGCATATAGTAAGATCAGGGGCTAAGCTACGCGCGAGGAGTCTGTTTCATTTTGCTGAGGGCTGCCAACACATATGGGGACCATTTTAGATCCCGAGTTTTCTATTATAAGCCGCTTTTCCTTTCCATTCGCTGTAAGTTTGTACAAGGGAGTTACCTTTTGGTACGAGTACAAGGAAGTGGGATGGTTGGGATGAAAAGGTAAAGATGACGAAAATGTGTTAGAGATCCGTTTATTATTTAAGATTCCAGAACATAATTCACTTATAGACAGATTTAGTAGTGTCGAGTATGCATTTTATTGCCTTTCCTCACACCTAATCAAATTTCGCAATCTGCGTGCTTCAGTGTACGCTAGATTTGTTTCCGGAGCACTGGAAATGTGGAACCTGGACCAAATGTTATGGCAAGAGCGTTTTACGACTAAAACATTAGAAAGGGATACTGGTCACATTCTGGTTAGCTGCATGCTATCGTGAGCTTCAGATGACGGCGCTTCCGAGTAGGGCTGTTGTGTGTGTTTCAAAGTGGGCATGGTTAATGTATGCAAGTTTTTCATGACGTGGCACACCGAGTCGAATTGTATTTTCATTGAGATGCTGCGTTGTCCGATCCCGCAACGTACATGTGCCCGTCCCACTGGTGGTGCAAATGCTCGTTCTTGTTCTTTGTCTGCATTTTTTCATGTTTGATCCTGTCACTGCTGTCAACCGTCTACGCAGATCTAGGTCGGTACCACGAACATGACCGCAGAATTGCGTGTTTTGGGTGCGAACAACCTGTAAGGAATCCAGTGGTCATTATGCTTGTTTACCTCCATTGCTTTTCACTCACGCAGGTTTAATGACGGGTGCCGTGAATGTCAATGTAAGCACGACGACGCTTACTGCAAAACTCCAGTCTGTGTGCATTTTGTGAAAGTGAATACCCCACCGGAAAAATATTGTTACGATATACTACAAAGAGTGAGTGAATTCCCGTTGCATTCCTATTCTAGGGTTTATATTGTGGCATCAAATGTCGTCGTTGATAGTCATTGTTTTGTGTTCTTAGATACAAAATGCCTATAACTCAAACCGTTAGTTAAATTTAAATTCAACGAACACCTCACCATTGGAGTATTTGACAGTTAAAAGGGCAGACCAACAACACAATATTTCTAATAAATGAAGTTTCGACCACCTGAACATAGGCGACTTTCCTAGTCGTTGTCATGTTTAGCAGTCGTTGCCAACTATCTGATGGTGCTGCTTGACAAGATGAAGGAATTCTAGTTTAATCACCCATGTTGAAATCACCAAAAGTACTCGAACGCTGTCTGATACAGTAAGGAGCTTTCGTGAGATCATACTCATCCGTATTATTGGCACGTACGGGGAGCTTTGCTGAAATTATGTTGAATTCATCGCAGCGAGTTACAGGCCAGATAGTCTGATCACTATTTCAGAAAAGCATTAGCCAGTCCTTTTTCTTATCGGGAATCGTCAGTGCCACGCGTGCTCAGACTGCAGCAGGATTTCAAACCCATAACAGCTGGGGTCTTTGTTCGTAGCCAACAGTTTATACCACTAAGCCATGCACTACGTTGCCAGACATCATGACTTGCAAATTAACTGCGACACATCGCTTCCCGAATTGGAAAATTGGTCGCGCTACTGCACATTTTGCTTGTAAGTCATGACGGTCTGCAGCTAACCCTCATGGCTCAATGTTATGCTTTCTGTCCCTGATGGAGCTGGGCGATGCGCAGCACTGACGCACCCAGATAGAGCGAAACAGCCGTCTGGTGCTTTATGGCGTTGGTGGTCGGACCTTCTAACTTGTAAGCTACTGTGACTAATTCAAAGACTGCGTTGACTCATTGCCCGTCAAAGTACCCTGGAAACCTCATAGTTGAACGAGTACTTGTTAATATTCACCCGTATGAGCATGGTCGTTCACTCGAGAATGGGTCAATTCCTCGTGAGATATTCCGTTGGGCGTTTAGATGCATAAACTTTGCGTTCGGGCTTGCTACCAGGTCTTTGCTGTCACAGTGACGCTACTTTACTAGCACAATGATAACGTAAGCAAATGAACTTTGCTAAATCCTTGTACTTACAACTACCGCAATAATCCTAAGTTACTTGCGTTCAGCCGCAAAGTCGAAGACGGAACAAGAATGGAACACTTTCCATCTGGTTAGCGCTTTGGTCTGGAAGAAGTAGGTTTATGAGAGATACCTAAGTGAACCACAATCGCTCGTTTCATTGACCTGACATGAAAAAATGTCGAGTACCAAGATAAGGACAATTGCGAACGCTCAAAATAGGTCTATTTATCTCTACCATTGCTTGTAAATTTATTTGGCTCATTCTCTCTTTTATTAACCCAGCATTATATTTTCTTGTGTTACAGAACGAGAGACAAAACGCTGATAAAGATGCAATTTCCGTAGTTAGTCGTTTAGTCTTGAAAGAATCTGGAACTCAAAGCCCCGGCAGCCTTGAACTTAAGTCAAAAGCTGAGAGTCCAACGCCTGCCGCAACCTCCGTAGCTAACGAACCTACGGATGCAAACAAACTCATTTCTACCGGTGCAGATTTGCCATTATTGAACGAGGTGATAGAGGTCCCTTCTCAGGGCCACAGTCGTCCCATACCATCTGTTATGCCCCAGAAAGCACGCTCACATAGCTATCTCTCACAGCATGAGGCCTCTCCACCAGGTGTGCACGAACGGCAAGGTAAAAGAAAAGTAGTCATGGCATCCGCATCACCAGCACAGTCAGAGGAACATAAACCGACCGTTGACCACGGTTCCAAACACGATGTAACTGAATCGTTGGCCACATTGTTACCCACTGTTAACGGATTGCGCAGCCGGGCTAATGGGAATGGTAGGTCTAAAAACTCTGTAACATTGGGACTTCATGGGGATGCAAGGTCCACAAATAGTGGCAATACTCCGGGAAAAGATAGGCCAAAGCAACATCATCCAGAGCAATCGCGGGACGAATTCCCCAGTCCACAGGTTATTAAATCGATTAAAAACACGCCAACCGAACAATTGACAAAAATTTTAATTGATCATATTCTACCGGGCAAAGAGCAATCCACTACGAAGGAGGACAGATCATCAAGGGCGAAGAATGCACAGAGAGTGAACAGGCTTCTTAAGCTTCTTGGGAGTTTCTTTTCGAATAAACTATCTAAACAAAATGAGTCGGATTTGAGCACTGCTGATATACATGGTAAATCCTTAAGGGATCCAAGGAAATTTGGGCATCTTCACTTCAGCGACTTTGTACACGAGCCAAGTCAAGGACACTTTTTCAGTGGAGGCCCGCCGGAAAGGTTATCACCCTTTTTCCGTGAGGATGTTCCTCGTCACCACGATTTCGTACCACAAAGTCAAGGGGATTTCTTCTCAACTAGTAGGGAGAAGATGGGTCGGACTCCAGTGAAGCCATTTGGACCTTTTGATTTTCCGGTGGATACGCAACACCACCATGTGGGTCCACCTGAGCCACATGAGGGCTATGAAACAGGTTACTTCGAGTCACTAAATGGACAACCCTATTGGAACCCTGGGCCTTATTACGATGGGCCGTACTACGGTGAGCCTTTTGGGTTTTACTCTGACGGGGGGCCAGAACCCTTCGATATGTTTCCTGAATCGCCAGAGGTTTTCTATGGAGACAACGTCCATCACCTGCGTCATGTAAAAGGCACCCTGCGATCATTGGGGACGGCAAACAAGAAATTAGAAAAAGCAGCCAGTGAAGTGGCCACTGTCAACAAAAGTAGTTCCTCATCGTCACCATCAATCCGAACTCCAAAAAGTGTGCCAGATGAATTTATAATGGCCGCGCGCATCCTTCATAGCCCAAAGCAACTACAAATGATTGAAAGCCGCGGAAACCAGATTTCCGCAACTTCTGGGCAGCACCGTGTGAATCAGCAGACTGGCCGCGTGAACAGCAATTCATTCGGTCCTTCGCCATCTCAAAGCCAGCTCTCACCGATGGAGTTCACGCAAATGCTAGAAAATTTGCAACGGGAGCTATCCAATGTGAGACACCAGTACCAAAAATGTGAATCCTATCGAAGCCGAATTAGACATGCGTTAAAATCGCACCTGTTCGGCGGTCATAATTCCGCTTCCTCACCTTCTTCCCTGTTTAACACTGCCGCCTCTTTCATTTTAGGGACCTATATTTTACGTCAATTCACGTGAACTGACTAGCACAGATTTATCAGCAACAATGAAATACTGCAACACGGTGTCTCGTGTTTTTTTCCGTTAAGATGTAGAGCCGTCGGCAACAATATTACTTCGTGCGATTAAAAAGCCACTTGGTCCTAAGAATTCATCGCTGAACTCCTTAGAGCGGGTTGCTCGTTTATAGTAATTTCAGATGAAATGCCATAGTCCCAGTCCCTCATCCTGGTTCTAATAATTCGTCCTCATCGTTTCTAGTGCACTATCGCATATCACCGATTGTCTGGAATTCTTTTCGACCATGATTTCTAACTAATGATTTGCTCCAAAATATGCAAGTCGTCAATAAAAACCACTGAAGATAGCATCGTCAAATAACATCTAACAATCCCACATATGTTAGCCCTCAGCGCCTATCGGCAATCACCCAAACTGCATAATTAGAATGCGGTACGGTCAGTTTTTATCAGATCCGGAGAATTATGATACGGTTGTTTTCAGGTTCATTATAAACCCGAGTGAGCAGATAGCGACATGTAGTTGGGAGTACGACGCACTTTGATGGAAACGGTTCGTCTAGTCGTTACGCTTCTGGGTGAGTCAACAAAAGGTAAGCGTTATCAGTTCCCTCATCTACACTCCACACTCAATTTCACGCTTGTCTATACTGCTAGGACAAAGATGAGTGCACCTGACTGATAACCATTCCGAGAGCGATATAATGGTCACCACGGTCAGTGGCTCACTGTGATAAACGTTCACGGCTGAGCCATAATGAAACGATGAGCTTCACGTCTAAGTCCGGATCCCTACTTGGGCTACCTCCAAGTACAGAATATAAACCGGTACGAAACTTGAAACGGAAAAGTAGGAGTGAAGCACCTGTGAGATATATTCACTGAACTACTGCTTAGTCCTTCCGGTACCGGTTGGTACCGTGTCATACACTCACTCCAAATGAGTTTAGAACCCGTGACGCCATTCTCATGATCACTAGCGGAGACCAATGAACGAAGGAATACCTCAATCACTGATGTGAATAGGTTTTTAGTTGGGCTATTACGTGGCTCACTGATAAACGGCTAGTATTAAACCCCTGTGTGCAGAACAGGAAACCTCAGACGATAATGATTTCATGAGGTCATGCTGCCAGGTAACACATGGCATTTAGCTCGGGTGAAACGACGATTGACTATGATATCAGAGTGTACATTTCAAGGACTTACTAAACTCTTTCGTTGCAGACTGTACCATAACTAAAAAGCCTATCTACCACATTCAGGCATCCAGTATGTTAGGTTCAGTGGTTGTATTCTTTTTAGCCGTTTTGGATGTGACGGTGAAACCAAGCAAATGTTCCGGCCCATTGCAGTGCTGAGGTTTTGCTTGCAGATACAACACAACCGACTGAGTAAGGAACTGAAATATTCGTGTGTTGTCCAACTCACTCACTGCAAGTTTCAGGCAGAAATGAACAATGATTGTCACGGGCAAAACATAGCAAGTGCTATATAAATCCCGTAGGATAGTTGGAGTGAAAACTATGCAATCAAAGGCTAAGTGACTAGTCAGTTTGGGCGTAAACCGATTTAACTCTGCACGGCTGCATAACCATAATGTGAAGTGAAATTGTATGGACGCACACGAAGAACTATGTGGAGCAGTTTGGTTCACCTAATCAGTGAGCAAAATAATAACAGTGTGTAAGACGACGTTCACTCGTGTGCCCCTTCCTTGGACCAATGGGATACGTAAATGCACTTTCCACAGAAGAAGCGTTTAATAAGTGAATTGTAGGAAGTGGAAATGAGCACGTTGATTGGCAGTGTTAAGATGACGCGTAGACATAAAAAGCGATCTAGCGTAATGTAAACGCATGAATTATTGTCGAGACGTCTGAATACACTCAGTGCGGGGGAAGAAGGAAGACAGTTGAGGAGGGCATTCCAAGGTTGATACACACGAAGTGAAAAAAATTCCTGCGGCATTCCAGTAACCTGTACTATATATCCAGCCTTCGCTGGTTACCTCATAGTAGTATTGTGACGCAGCTTAAGAAGGTGACTACAAACATGATTTGGATTCCTAATGACAAAGTATACTATTATCAAATTGCCACTCAGGTGACGCTATTGTCTACTGTACGTCTCAAGTGTTTTCAATCTCAGTTGGTAAGGGTGATGAAACAGCCGTTTAAGTTATTACTAGCCCTTTCATTGTGTCAGTTCAAGTGCCGTCAGCTCTTGCTTGTGCCAGTGCTGCTAGGCGTAAATGGCCTCTTCCGAATGGGTCCTAATATACGCATTGAGCATCAGGGAGAAAATTAAAGGTCAAAGCGCCCAAAAGCTGTCCGCGAAAAGCTAAGGTGTTGGTTGGTCTTTATGCATGCCTTCTCGGTCTGACGTGAACAGCCAAGATGCTTTTGTACTCTCACACCTATACCGCATTCCCTAGAAGCACGCTGCAAAACTTGATCCCCATCTATAACTGGCAATTAGATTGAAGATGTATGTTCAATGTCTTACCACTGGTGGCGTTGAGATGAAGCAGCTGCTGAGTCGCCTATTCGTTTAAGCTATCAAGCTCCTCCTGAAGCGTTGCGTGTTCACTTGATTTGATAGCCCGCTATACTTTGGGATCATTGGTGAAGAGTAAGAAATTGGAAGTGATCACACTTGCAAGGTGTGGACCAAGTACTGAGCCCTCCGAACCGAACATCGATAGGATCATAGAAGGCACTGAGACCGCTCCCATTCAGATGTCGTTGAAACCGAAAGTTACCTATCCAACCGAGAACTGGGTTACCAGTTCCACAGCTCTGAGGCTTGTGAATAAGTATGCCGTAGTTCAGACAGTCAACTGCCTTTGTGAACTCTAGATGGATTACTTCAACTCCCACACCGCTGTCCACAATTTCAATCTAACTGTAGCGAGCAAGCAGCAGGTTTGTAGTGCATGACCAATTCTGGCGGAATCCATCTCGTTCTGGTGCCAAAGTCTTGTATCCTTCCAGGTAACTCACGCGGTCTTCGGCAATAATATGCTCCATGACTCTGAAGAGCAACGCAGGGGGTGTTATCGGGTAATAGTTGGCCGGATCTACAAGACTTCTGCCTTGTGAACCGGAGAGACGATTCCGTGCTTACACATTGTTGGAGTCCGCATCTCGTCGGGACGTCGTTGGAAGAACGGAGAGAGCGGATCCGACAAATTCGTACTATCTAACTTCAGAGCCTTTGGCCAGATATTATCAGCACCAGGAGAGGCATGCTCGCGCAAGGAACTTAGCCTTTCAGAACATTTGCAGCCATAGACCAGATATGGCTAAGACCTGTTGTTGGTACACCTTGTGTGAATAGCATAAGCAACGAAGTAGTGCTAGGGAAGTTTGCGAAGGATTGCTGACAATAGAGGTTGGAAGCTTCTGTTGCAAATCTGATAAGTCTTTCATCCCAACAGTTCACAAGCTACATAGCACTTTGTGCTGGTCTACTCGGTGTGCGGAGTGCCGGGATCATTCACTGCACTTAACGGAGTTTGTTAACATATCTGTACAGAAGCTTTGGGTTTAAAAGGAAATTCTCAGCTAGACACTGCTGAGACCTTTTATCCTGGCGTACCAGGTTCACGCAAAAATTCCGCTGGATAGGTTAGGCTTCTCATGTTTCAGTATCCAGTGACTATATCTTTATGCCTCGAGCTGCGTTTTAATGGATTTACTCCCATCGCGCTCCCGGGGGCCTGTACCACGAAGCATCGGTTAAACTTGACAAATCAATGAACAAAATCCGACCCGGCGACATCGAGGGATAGTTTGACTAGAAATGACCAGTTAGATGCATTAATGAGTGTAGTCGGACGACTATCCCGGGAATTCTCTACGATGTCTTTGGGATACGGCATAATAAATGTAGTTGAACAAGAGTGTTGCATTATCGCTACGGTTCAAAGGACTATCTGTGCCTACCATTTCGATTAATAGCTCATGGTTGGTGAATGCAACACCCAGCATACTTGCTTTCTTCCATGTCCTGAACCATGTGGGGAAAGTAACGTGGTTATAGTAGTAATCCAGTGATTAGCTCAGATAATTTCACTTCATAGTGTTCTTTAAGACAGACTGGTTTCTTGAGAGTCGAGATTGAAGTCAATAACCGGGAGATTGTGACTGAGCGACTTTGCGAGGATGGTCTTCATAGTGTAGGCTAGGTGAGTGTTCATTACTGAAGCGTACGACGGAGGGCGGTGCACGACACCCCTTAAACATGTGTTCCTACGTCTTAGATGTAGACGGCACCAAGGCGCGTCGATCTCTGCGTCGTTGAGTGGACCAACGTATAGCTCAGTGCAGTAATAGCGTAGTACATCACCTCCTCTATTCGGTCGATGTTTGCGCAGATTGGACACTCCAGGTAGTACGATTTCGGCGTCAGTAATCACTTCACTCCATCGCGTCTCGGTTAGCATGATCAGGTCCCAAGACATCGTGGCCTGACGCAGCCGAAGCTTTATCAGTGCTGAACAGGCATTGTGCCTCGGTATAAAAATAAGCGAGTGCCTTATACGTTAGGAGATTGGTGGGTGCTGTAGACAACAGGTTTAAAACTTGGCCGCCCCTCATGCGGTCGACTACTATTGGTTCATTTTGAGGAGACGCTGTATCTCGAGTTGTAGTTGGGATACATTACTGCCCTGAGCATGCCAGGTCATGATGACTCAGAACGTCAATCGTATCCTGCGGTGTCTCTCCGGATGTTATGACAGCTATAAGATTAGACGCTGAAATGAACTCCACATCGGGTGTTTACGCTGAGTTTACCACCGTCAGTGAGTAATCAGTAGCCTGTGGTTGTGTCCCAGCTGGCTTCTGTCATGCTTCTGTTAGCAGCATGTCACGGAACTTAGCTCAGTTATCTAGTATTGCCTGTACCGTCAGCTAAGACTGTACAACAAACTTAAGCAGCATAGGACCACATCTTTTGTAATTCGGTGACGCGAGAATTCTTTTAACGCATTAGCAGCGAAGGATCTGCTCGAGCTTGCTCGGAAGAGGAAGCTTAGG